ACAAATCACACTTACACTCCCTTCTGCTATTCATAACTGGACAGCCTAGTAACGGGCATTTGAAAGCCAAAACTTAATTTGGCTCTGCTTAATTGCCTGATGGAAAGGAAGCGAAAAAGAGAGCGTGATTTTGTGAGTGAAATGCTGTCAGGACATTGTGTTGTTTAAGCTCTGTGGTCCTCTACCATTAAGGCCGTTCCAGTGGTGACAAATTGTTTTTCGTGGAGGCACCCAAACAAATGAGTGATTTATGAACCCACATGAGTACACATACATAGGCACACATAAAGTAGCAGATGATAATTGCAGGCGTTATGCCTGATGCATGTCAAATTAACAGAAAACTGTTGTGCATATGCGTGTATATATGTAGGTATGTATGTGTGTGGTGTTTACAGTACGTAATTACTCATGTATGCTTATGTTCAATGTAGATGTATGTGTGCATGAATATGTATGCATTGAATTCAATACGCTGAATTCATATGTAGATATGGACACATGAATAGCTGGACAAAGTGTTATTAAGTAGCTTTCCATTGGTTACAGCAACAATGCGTTAATGATCTGTACAAACCGCGTGAGCTGCAGAGCTGCAAGAGTTGATAAAGCCTTCGGTTAACTTAAAGCCGAGCGCACACACACATAAACGTGCACAGCGACACATTGTCACACACACAGAAACACAAACACACACACGCGCACGCACAAAGCCACAAACAAACAATACACGTAGTGGCTTTAATTGCCCTGCCTCTGAGCAAGCTGAGGCACTGACTGCGCCAGAGGGGTGGGAGGCTGGTGCTGCCTGTCTCGTTCGGCGTCGCACGATTAGTTAACGTATTCGTCTGGCAGGCACTGTTGCCTGGATGGGATTTATGTTTGCTCTACATGCATGTTGTACAAACAATTTACTGTAACTGTGACATTCAAATACAAGCAAACACACTCACACACACACACATACATATACATATATACGAGCACCCAATTGGCGACCTCCATTTAACACCAAACGTGTCATTTGTGGCCATTTGCTCGTTGATGGTCCTTTCTTTTTCCCTCCTTCTCTGTCTCTCTTTTTTAGCATTTGCTTTACGGAGTTTTGCAGCTTTTGCGGTCAATTAAGTGGGCCGCAAGAGTAAATCAAAATGCGTACTGCATAATCTTTTTGTGGCCTGTGCAGCACACGGTGTATGGGTTATTTGAAGCACATTATGTTGCCTCAAGTGTGCAACAAGCGTTCGTATAACATTTTCTGCTCAACTTTCACAAAGTGCTAACAAACTGATTTATGAGCTTTAAGCAAGCAATATAAACTGAAGTTCGTTATAGCTATGGAAAAAAAAAAACAAGAAGGACTCTCACAGCAGCCAAAGGACATGCAACAGTGGCAGCAACAGATACCAAGGCTACATTGGACAAACTCACAAAGTAAAATATAGTCACAGTATATGTTATATAGACTTACAGGTTGATAAATGCGCTGTATAAATGTTACATTTATCGAGTATTATTATTTGAAATTTCAAGCATTTTTTATATAGATTACATTATGATAATTTGGTTTATAGTACTTTGATAATTTTTACAGTGCA